TCTGGAGTGGATTTCACATTACGCCAAACTGCTGGCAACGTTCTGTACAGGAAATTCAGTGTTAAACGCACGCTCGTGATTAGCAGAATACACACAAGTGGATACGCGGAGCGCTGGAGATGGCCCATCCGTTACCCGGGAAGCACTTTTAATTGCCTCAAATATTTAACCGGAAGGCTTTGATTCCTGCAAAATTCCCAAGCCATTTCTCTGAATTTGGCGATAGGTAAGCACTATAGCCGCCACAATTTGAACAACTAACGATAAGCGGAGCAAAAATTTCAATAAAAGCTTTTGGAAGCGTAAAATGAGTGGCGATTCTGACACTACGCTTTTCAAATATTCTAATTTTTGTGTCACAGTTTTTTCGGTTTCGAATCCGCCATCATGAACGTTTTGGTACCATTGTTGCTTAAGGCTGACTTCTGGTTTTTCTGTATTCACCACACAATCTACATGCCGAGGCAGTGAAGTTAAGATAATTAATTTTGGAAACTTGCTTGAAATTGTTCCGCCTTGCTTTTCGTTCTCTTCCATCGACGTAGATGATGGCTCTTCTTCAGGAGGAGCCATCGTTTACATCGAAGGAAGAGGACAAGAGAACTGCTCTTTAAAAAAGCAGGAGACCGGTAAGAGTCAACATACCGCATCTGAACGTCACTGAAATTACATGGTTGATAACAATAGTAGCACTTTTTAACCAAAATTAATTTTACATTGTTATTGTCGTCCGCTAGTCACTAACCTGATTTACTAAGCTGTTATATCAGGTTTGTGACTAGTTCCTGCAACGAACAATGCATCGAACTGGTAAATGCCATCCTTGCGATAAGAATAAAGAATCGCGCGATTTATTTTGTCTGCGCTTCCATTTAGGTATCAATATTTTTTTTACAGCAATTTTTTTCTTTGGTTAGGTTCAGTAACTTCAGTTATTTAATTTGAACGAATAATATGGTGATTAGATGGCTCATCCTGGTTGCACTCCTTAAATTGAACAACCATTTTTGTTAAGATTCCGCTCAACCGAGAAAGAACCGCAACATGCATGCATTGTGTTAAAAGGAATAAGTGAGATGGCGCTCATATCAGCGCCATTTCCCTTATTACTTTTATTACTTGATGATGCACCCTTTCAATTTCATCCGAGCGGTGATGCCCTGAGCTTCATTGGCAAAACAACCTTGAATACTCCGCCGATGGGTGCCTGCGGAAGGTCAACACTGAAAAGAAAATTGTTGGTGGCCGTCAACAAGATGCAGTACGGAGAGCACAAGAATCCCAACAAGACGCCCGTCTGCGCAACTGCGCATTGGTCAAAGGTGTGAACTCCGGAAAGCAGGTCAAGGCTAAGGTGGTCGATCGCTGCGCCAGCGGCTCTGCTGATATGTCCCAGCCGCCTTCCCGAAACTGGCTTCCAAGGATTTACGTTATAACCAGGTAACCTGGAGCTTTTGTCTGTATTGGCTGTATGTGGCTGGCAATCGTCTTTCAATTGTTTCCTAAATACGATTTGTATTTGTGTCGCGTCCTGACTAAAGCCATAAGCTTTTTCGTTTCTATCCTGCAGTATCCGCAACCTTTTCCTTAGTTGCCTTAATTTGTTATACAGTTGTTTATTTAGTTAAATGCGCATTGCGCAATCCATTGAATCACGCTTGACAACAATGGCTTTGTATATTTTGTCTGATAGTGGTCTCAGATGTCGTCTCCAGAAAATCATAAGCGCTTTCTCTGAAATTTACTAAATACAAATATTTAGAATTGATTTGTATTAAAAATATATGTTGTTATGTATTCTACGAAACGTGTGAAAACGCGGTGAATAGGGACACGATTGATTACCGTGGGCGCCATTCACCAGAGGAACATCATATTTTTTAAAAATAACGACAAGATTCATCGCGAGCCCTCGTACCGCAAACTCAAGTGTACTACAGATAGATTTCTTGACTAATAAAAGTATTCAGTAAATGAAAAGGCATGTAAAGCCAGTTTTACGAGTTTAATCTTGCAACAGGTGTTGCCGAACAGAGGTAGCCCGGTACCTCATAGGGATACCGCTAGAGGCAAAAAACAGGAAAAGACAGCACATCAACCGTGCATTTAACGCCACATCACGCACATAAGATAATTAAGGTATCACTGCCGTGCCGACCAGGAGTGGCTGAAAACCTTTTTTCACTCTTTCCAACCAAGCCTTGAATATTTCTTCAGATTTTTCTCGTGCACGCCTCTGAATAAACAAACATGCAACAAAACGGACAAACTGCTTCATAGAAAATTTAAGCAAAAAAACAAGATAGCGCAGACTGCAGAGGATATCATTAAGATTTTCTTTATCAGTCGCACGATATCTAAACCATTGACCTAATATACTAAGAAAAAGCTTTATGGAAAGTTAAAGCAAACGAGGAAGCGGAGAATGCAGAAAGGGGTGTTCCTTACAGCACGACAGAAATTTGCAGAAGGCAGGTAAATACGGCACAAATTACAGCCAATTTATCATTTAACGTAGTTCCAACCTGGTCGATATTGAGGTCCTCGGAAGCCAACTTCCTAAAGGCGGCTGAGGACAGCTGGATGGCTTCAAGGACGCATCCTTCACAACGTTCGACCACTTTGACCTTGACCTGCTTACCGGTGCTTTGACCAACTTTGTCCACTGCTTTGACCAGGGCGCATTTGCCGCAGACGGGGGACTTGTTGGAATCGGGGTAGTCACCGTACTGCACGCGGCCGATAGCCATGCCCATTTCGTTCGCAGTGATGACCTTTCCACAGGCTCCATTCGCTCCCGGATTGTAGATAGTTGCTTTGCCCTGAAAACCCCAAGCAACAGCGCACAACCCTACGAAGACAACAACACCAAAAAGGAAGCGAGCGGCCATTTTAGAAACAGATTAGTCAGAAGAACGACAAAATATAGAATCGGTAGAGATGCTGTGCTGTTATTGACTGTTTATCAAAGAAATGGGTTGAACCTTATATCATTTTTAAAAGCCAGCGTTGTGCAGATATGGAAAGACTTTTCTCCGAACCATTCGGACTGTGTTCCGGGGAATTATCTTATACAGCAAATTACTGAGAAGATTTACGTGACTGTTGTTGATTCGGCATGGCAACGACAGACCAAGTTTACTTTAAAAACGCTTAAGCATTATTTTCGCAGAAGCGCTTAACTGTAGGTAGCGGAATCATGGAGATATCAATTATTATGCCAAAATCCGAACGCTGCAAATTCCCTCACCGCCTGGAGTGGAGTTCACGGTATAATACGCATATTTTGCTGTAACGAATCCACTCAAGTGTATTTTCTAATGTTTGTAAGTTTCGCATACATGCAAATTACATAGAAAATTAGTTTGCCCGAACACTGTAAACATATTTGTTAAATTTCTTCAAAGCTCCGCACAGACTTATATCGCATTATCTGTAATTCAGATTATTCAGTAACATTCAGCAGTGGATTTTCCGTTTCGCACTAATAAAGCTGGAGTCTGTAATAAACATTGAAATACCTGAAAATAACGTCGCAAAAAAAATCCTCATGAATTGAGTGCCGTGCTTACCACAATTACATAAGCGTTGCTCAGTTAACGACGAGCTTTCGCTTCCGACTTAGAGATATTTTTGCATGACTGCGTATGCCCAAAACTAAGGCCTTGGCTCAAATTCGAACCGTATCTCGCTACGGTACGGTGTTGGTCAAGCGGCAGTGTCCTTCTGTGCCTGTGCGCATCGGTATGACCCTAATTCTGAATTTCGAATTCGAAGCACGAAAAATAATAAAGATAGTCCGATGTCGACTCGTGTTGACCATTTTGGTGGCTCTTAAACTCGTAAAAATACAGCAGTTAATAAAATATTTCTATATAACATCAAAAACACAACTTAACGTTTTGTGTATCAATTAAAACGCCGTGCTAATCACTTTTGCTAAGCTTTATTTAGATTAGGAGCGTACGATCGTGCTTTCTTAGGCCTTTTTTGTAGTTGAACCATTAATTTTGTAATTCATTGACAACATATTTTTTGCATGCACCAATAAAATAGCCCCATTATCGTAAATATTCTACAGCTGTTCTAAATAAAAGCAGTATGTGCAATAATGGTCATACTGGTTGTAGCAAGTTGTTAGTTGTTACCGTCAAAATTCGAAAGACGTGAAAATAAATTAAAAAAGCCAACATGTAAACTAAAAATACTGAAATTTGAGATACCGTGCACACAGCCAGCACCCGTGTTTTCCCGTGCCCGCAGCATAGACCTATTAATTTTTATAGTGATTTGAAATTTCAGACGTCAGGTTAATACGAGTATTTCAGAACAATAAACGTAAAAAACTGCAGTCGTTACATTGTTAGAAGAAGTTAAAATGCCTTGGTGAACGCGTTGGCCCAAGTTGCGTTTAGTTTGGGGACATGCGATCAATTGTAATACTTGCCAATCGCTGCATCATTAATTGGGTGACGCAGTCGAAACAAAATTTTAATGTGACGGCATAGTGGCCGAACACATAGAGCAGTTGGCTCCATTACTGCAAAAGAGTTCTCGGCACCTTGTACGTAGTGTGAAAACCAGACATTTTACTGCAGTTACCCTCTACTTGCCAAATGTAAATTGATCTCTCGTGTCTGTCCTTGTGAATAATATACACAAACGAAAGCAGTTATTATTTGCTCTAAAGCAAGTGCATACGTCGAATTTTGAGTTCCCGCTATCGGACCACGCAGTTCTCAAGTGGATATGCGAGGTACCGGAGCTGGCCCATTCAGTACTCGGGAAACACTTCTGTTTTCTTTAGTCTTCAACGAAAAGGCTTCGCTTCCTGCAAAACTGATAAGCAGTTTCTCTGAATGTTTCGAAAAGTAAGCATAATAACTGCCAGGTTACTGAGCAGCTCTCATCTATGCAGTAGAAAGAATGAGCTCAGTCGTACGGCGATACCTATAAAAGCGTTTGTAATATCTATTGAGATGCACTTCCTAAACCGTTATCTCCACAACAACTTCTGAGGTTAGTTTTTCAACGTTTTTTTCGTCCCACTACGACAATCGTCATTATGAAATTTTTGGTGACCTTACTCCTTTTGACTGCTCTTATGGCTTTTGCGGTAAGTGCATTCGGGCTTTTTGCTTTAAATGTCAGAGTATCGATTTTATGAGGTTGATTGGATTATATCGCCGCATTCTTATAGGCTGCCATGCCAGCCAAGGAAGATCCACCATCAGCGTCAGCGAAAGAGAGCCCGCCAAAATCGGGAGTCGGTAAGTGTCAGTGCAGCGTAGGGAAGCTTCCCCGAACTTTAAGTTTTCGCTGAACTTTCACTGCTGTACAGTTGCCGTTGACATGTACAGTACTTCAGTCAACTGAATCCACGTAAAGGTTATAATAACTTGCGTATCTGCCCGATAAACGTCAACAATGTTATTTAGCGCCGGAAACGGATCCTGGCACGCCGAAAACAGGCCCCTACACAAGCTCTTCATCTCTCGTCCTGGCGAATCAAAAGGGAAAAGATCCCGCTGGACCGAGCCGAATCGGCCGCCCAGAACCTGGAAATCCCGATATCCCCGAGTTCGGTAAGTTACATTTCGCGAAACTTGATCGAACTTTTCCAAATATGTACGTTCGTTAACTTTAACTTTTTTCAAAAGGTTTTTCAAAGTTCAGTTTTACGCAGTAGCCTTTGATATCCTCCACAGGGACTGAATAATGAAATCCTGAAAAGCAAATCCATGAAGTGTACATTTTTATTCAGTCTGGCGCAAGCTACTGACAGTCAGTCTATTTAAAACCTGCAAAGTGCGGTTTTTACAGCTTACAGTTATAATACAGTATTACCTGAACTGATAATAATCTCGCTTCTATATTTCTTTTAGCGCTCACCTGTTATATTTATATTTATGGTGTTGTCACACATACAGCATTTTGTTGCTTCAATATACACAGACAACTTTGTTTAGCACCGGAAATGCGTCCCGTCAAACCGAAAACGAAGCGCAGTTACATGAACATCGGCCCCTCTTTTATTCCTTGTACCGAGGAAGAAACCCGTATTAATCCAAACGACTGCAACAAGATTCCGTTTTGTACATGGGAACAAAGACGTTTGCATCCGCAGTATTGCGCATTTCAAAAATAACCGTCTCAGTTTGGCTTCTCAATTTTCATCAGGCCAGATCAATACCATTGCCATTACTACAAACGGTTTCTGAAGTCTTATTTGGTGAAACATTTATTAACAAACCGTGTTCATTGTGTTGTCTAGATTGCTAATTTTTTGGTCTAATGAAGATCGCAGTACTTATTTTAATCGATTTGTCATCAAAGTTTTTGCAAGAAAAATTGTGAAACAAAATAGTTCAGAGTTAGCTGTTTCAATAAATCTAATTTCATGCTGGTCATTTGCAAAATAAGTCGTAAAACGCAACACTGTGTGATCGGCGAAGTAAGTATTGCGCATTTATTATGATGCTTAAGTTGCATATATCCCTGGAGCAAGATGTTTCTAACAAAGTCACCAAAATCCCCAACTTATTCCTAGGGAATTTTAGTCTCTGAATAAATAGTATTATCAACTGCCAAGCTAATGTGAGTGGTTGAGACCTTGAGCGTTTCCTCAGAAAGCAATGGATGTGCTTTTGTGTTTTTGGCATTTAGCACACATCAATTACATTGTGGCTGCAAGCATCCACAAAAAAAACGTCTCACACTCGTCAGTGCAAAAATTACCTCGCATTACAACGTGCCACGCTTAAGGATCTCGAAACTGTCTGCATTAAAAAGCCAATTTCAACAGTCCGGAGTGGTTGAGCCTCTGCGCGGGTTTTCACAACCGCGTTGAGGATTATGTTACTGTAATGTGCGTTGAATAGAAGCACATATATAGTATTATTATATACAAGAAACGGCTTCGGCTTTGCCTCCGCGTTTCTTGTGGTCTGCTGTCGGTTTTTCGAATGATTTGATTAATTTAGTATTACTGCGTGCACTATTTGCGATGACTATAGTCTATATGCACTAAACAGTGGTCTTACTTCAGTTCTTCACCACCTATCACGATTTGCGCTCAGAAAAATAAAGGAAATTTGGTTACTCAAACTCTCAGTCGGCTCTGCGCATTGGACAGTAATGGAAATTGGTCACTCACTATACAGTGCAGTAAACAGTATTGGTACTTCAGTTACTCACCACCACTCGATCCGTTACGTACCGACCTAGCGAGCAATGGCTGTTTTCAGTAGGTCACCACTCCCCTACCGGTTTCTGCACACGAGAATAGTGGTACTTCGGCCACTCGTTATGTGCGGTTCCAGTAATGGTAGCTCAGTTACTGGTTCGTTACCACTCGTTTGGTTACTCAATCACCTAGCGAGCTCTGTGCACTGGAGAGTAGCGGTAGTGCGGTAACTGCGGTTACTCACCCAGTCACCCATCTATCGAATAGTAATTTGATCACTCAATTTGTACACTAAATAGTAGAAATAGTTCGCTAGTTCGTGTATACGAACCCCTGGGACCGTAGTCTCCAAATTAATACCCGTTTTCTTAGGAATGATAGATGTTTATGAAGCAATTTGTATTTTTCTAAACTGTTCTTTGAGTCGATGTACTGCAGCGGTAATACTTTGTAATTTATGTAATTGATAAATTTTTTACTATGTATGGTTGTTTTCAATGTGCACACTGCACAGCCCTTTTTGCACTGATTATGATAATCAATATCATAAAATTAGCCTTTATAATTCATTGCCGACGAGGATGCCGTTTATTTTTATAGTGTTTGTGTAGGGAATATAAATTTTCCGATTCGAGCAGTGCAGTCGGGTTGGCATTTTCTGATCTGAAGAAACTAATTTATTCCGTATTATACGGAATGATTAATTTAATGGACCGTACATGCTGATTAATCACTGTCTTAAGTTTTGCTCGGACTGTAATGAAAGGTCAGCCCGTTTGACGATTACTGTTTTCAGTTTCTTTTACAGCTGCTTTGAACGAGCGTTCTTATTCCTAACAAATCCTAAGTCATATTTTTGAGCGCTTTAAATTGTTAACGATTTACTGAAACGAAGCCATCCACTAGCAGCATCTTTGTCTTACTGCTAACAGGCTAGTGAGAGGCTGCTTTAGTCTTGCAGGAGTAAAAGTTCAAACCCTTTTTTTAATTTGCTGATCTAAAAAGGTGCCAGTTTAAATTTACTGAGTTTTTGTTCTATGCAACCGGACTCTGAAATTATTTTCAAGGTCACCTTGATCTTTCAGCTTTACCGGCACCGGCGTCTGTGAACGGGAGCCGGAGCGAATAATTACCAAAACTAAATGCATGCGACACAGTTTCCAGACATGCTGAATCGAATGACGCTAGCAGTTTTTCGATTAATTTTTTGGTTTGTTCTGACCAGATCGTACGGGGTTTTCCGTTGTAATATAGATCTTTTCCTTGATAGGGGAAGTCAGCTGCATACTGTTCCAGTCATCTGTTTGCATTTCCACGTCAAGGCTGAGCAGGGGTTTTCAAAGCGCTACATTTACACCTGCACACTGGCGCAGGTAGTTGTACCTTGTAAGCTGTAATAGTAATAAACAAGTGCTGCAGCGACCGTATAACATACGTAGGTAATCACTTTATACGCGTTAGTTGAATTCGAATTTTTGATGGATGCCTGATTTCCAAAGTATTTTGTGTATTTGATAGATATCTGTCTATATATTTATATAATATGCGCGTGTTCTGTAATTACTGTACATTAGTCTTGTTCTCATTATGAGGGTTTGTATAGATGCAAACCGTCGTTTGTGAGTTTATGATGAAGAAGGTGCAGGCTAGTAACGAAACTTACCAAAAAAGCCAGAATAGCTTGCATTACACTTTTTAACACTTTGTGGTTTAAACTTTGTAATTTAAAAACTTATGCAATGCAACTGCACAGGGTTAATGTACACGCTAGCAATAAAACACACCGAAATCCAGAATCAAAGCCGCAAGCACTAGTGCCGCGAAAACGTGCATAATGCCGGATGGAAAACAGAAAATACGAGCCGTATGTGTGTCAGACAACAGGAATTAGTTGTCCGTAAGATTGTCGTGGAAATGAGCAGATAGCTATGTCTGAGCCACGTCTTAAAAGAATTCCCGCTGATCATGAGTTGCATTTTTACCGTAGAGAAACTGTGGCGGCTAGTGTGCTTATCAACACATTCAGAGAACGTGTTAAGCGATCTTCAAAAATTACAGTCATTCCCTTGAATAATATTTAAAACAGCTGAAAGTATTTCCTAATAGCCTAAGTGGGCGCGTGCTGAATCCACTTGAAAACTGCATCGCAAGCTACTGGAAACTCAATCCTAATCCTATGGGCGTGGCCAAACTGTCCCCCTGCCTTAATAATATGCTGGAAGACCGTCCGGTTGTGACAGCAGACTTAATTAAGCAAAACCGTCTAAGTGACAATCCGAATTCGTGATTTGGTGCTAATTAAGTTGACGTGTTAAATTTCTTTTGGCATCATGTTCCAGAAATCACAATAACAACGTTGCTGTCTTGTAAAAGTACAGTAAAAAATTTACAATACAAAACAAACCGAAAACGTCAAACGAATAAAAACCGAAAATATCGAACGTTAATTTATTTCTTGTACTCAAACGATTTGTGATATTCACATCCCTTTGGATATGAAAGCCATTCTTCCTCTGAACAGATGCTTTTGTGGATGCTGCTCGTACTGCGCTTCATTATCGGTTTGAATGGATGCCTTTCGGGTTCTAAACAAAAATTGTTTGCATGTGATGAAAAGCCAAAATGTCATAGCATAATCACAGTTTGATTTGTCTGAAAGACCGATCACCTCGAGTATACGGTTGCACCTTTTCTTATTTTTGTTTTAAAGCTGCAATGCGCGCTGCTCGACTTAATTCCGTTAGAGTAACGCGTTCAACAGCGTAAAATTAAACCAGGACAATAAAAATTAGCGACGAATTAAAATTCCGCGAGGTCCTTCTAAGTTGGCGTTTATGATTAATGCAGTAGTAACAAGTAAAACGTATAAGTTTGACTTCTGTTTTTCGTTACTGTATTCTCCGGGATATTTTTAAACGGTTCTTATTTGAACCGTTTAATTTTAAACGGTTCTTATTTTAACCGTTTATTATTTTAAACAGTTCTGCAGCATTCGATATCTTGTCATATGATATCGACAACAAAAAAGTGTTCTTCCAATGTTGATGCAATAAAGGATCCGGATAACTACCTTAAATTTCGTAAAAGCCAAAAAATTACCTAAGTTTATACTTCAAAAGGTCGTTAACTTTACGGTAGACAGTCATGCAAATAATGAGTGTCTTGGAATTATGTTTTTGCAGGTCCGGTTTGATACTCCCGCGTGCAGCATGAGTTCCAAATTGCGACGCGCTTGTGTTTAACGATTCTTTTTCTTGAGAAAAATAATTCGCTCAACAAGTCGTAAATGGTGGTACCGGTATTTGAGAGAATTTTGGATTTACTTTCGCTGTTTAAAACTGAATACTTAAACAAGTGCATAGATTTGTACATAAGTTCTAACGTATTCTGACAGTGTGACACCTACCGGACTCCGCTATTTTTACATCCTTTGCGTTCTCTTCGTCTGACGGTAATGATGTGTCGTTCTTGACCGGCATGGCGCCCTAAAGCAACGAGACATTTGCAACAGCTTTCCGTAAACTTTACTCTGTAAATCACAAATAACTTACCTCGCAAATTAAAATACGACGGCTAGTAGCTAATGTAATGCACTTACCACAAAAGCCAGAATTGCAGCCAAAAGAACTACGATAACGAAAACGTTCATAATGTCGAATGCGAAACAAATGAAAGGTAAATAAAAGAAGTAAGATGTCGTTGGAATGACTCTTTAATTTGGGAAATGTCTCTAAACTGACGCTATCACACGGTTTTATAGCAACCGCTACCAAGCAGAACGCGTCTTTTCGATGGTATAAACACTGTTACGAAACTGTGGCGGTTATTATGCTTACGCTCTGCAAGATTCAGAGAAATTTTTCCCCGGTTCTGTATGGTATGATTCAAAGCCTTTCCGCTGCATATGCGAGACAAATAGAACTTTTTCCCGAACGTCGGATGGGCCCGCTCCAGCACTTCGCGTATCCACTTGAAAACTGCGCCGACAGCTAGCGGGAACACAAACGCTCAATATATGCACGTATTCAACAATCAAATTACATAATAAATTCTTGTACCTACAATAACCCACAAAGCGGTTACATTGCAGAAGTTTTTTAATTACAAAGTGTAATAAAGTTATTTTGGACAATGACTTGAAATAAGTAGCCGTGAGCCGTGTTTTTGTAAGTAAATTATAAAAGTAAGTGATAAGAAAGTAAGTAAATTATGAAAAAACGTAATTTTTAATGGCGTAACATAACTGTACTGTACCGTAGACGAGCATCAAGCTGTAATACAAATATAGATCGAGAAAACTCTTGGCATACGTTGCAACGAGCCATTCTGCTATAAACTACCAGTTAAACTAGGGAAGTGCCAACATAAAAAGACCGAAACGCAGTGGCAAAATAAATAAATTTAACATGTATGTACATGTTTTCGATTTTCATCTGTACTTTGCTGTGGTTTCGGAAGATATAACATCAAAACAAATATAACATCAAAACAGTGAAGTTCACTGTTTTGATGTTATATCTGAACGAATAAAATCCATTACGCAACTGTACGTCGGCATCATTTCTGAAAGCAGAAAATAAAAGACAAAATCGAACTGGAGGTTCACAAACGTTAACAGAACTTCGAAATTATGGCGAGGGTTGACCAAAGGTCATATGCGACCGGCAAAAATGTCCCCCTCCCCTTGGCCTATCTCCCATGCGGCGCAAATAATAGCGCTTGCATTTGCATGCAGCGCAAAGAATAATGTTTCTGAGCAAACCTACAGTACAACTAATCTGAAATCGGAAAAACAAAACCTGAAAATAAGGAAACTAACTTCGTCAAAACCGCGAAAGGCGTCAAAATTTCCCTGATTCACATACTCAAATGCAAAAAATAGAGAAATACTGAAATACTGATTTTATATTACTGTACCGTGTTATCTATAGAAACAGGCCGACTCAAGCTGGTCGGTAACCTGTATCCCTCTTTCCAACCGAATCTTTGAGAATTTTTTTATTTTTCATTTATCAGAAGCACCACATCTAAATCAATTATCTCCAGTATTCATCTAGAAAAAGCTGTATCGAAAGTTGAAGCATCTCTGACACCATGCACGGCAGATGTTTGAAGAAAACACGGAGACAGGTGATTATTTACTCGTACAACCGATTCAGCATTCAACGTAATTCCAAATGACTTGATTGAGACGGAGGTCCTTGATAGCCAACTTCTTGAAGGCGGCCGGGGACAGCTGGATTGCGCCGCTCATACATCCCCTGCATCTTTCGGCCACCTTGACCTTGACCTGCTCACCGCTGTCCACAGATTTGACCAGGACGCATTTGCCGCAGACGGCCGCCAGGCTGGGATTGCGGTAATCTCCGTACTGCACGTGGCTCAGGGACACCACCATATCGTCGTCCGTGTTGACCTTTCCGCAGGCTCCCGTTGCCGGATGGTATAGAGTTGCTGTGCCCTGGAAGCCCATAGCAACAGCGCACAAACCTACGAAGACAGCAACACCAACAAGAAAACGAGAGGCCATTCAACAGAAAGCTAGGTAAGAAGATTGAGAAAACAGAGAACTGGTAAAGAACTAGAGACGCTGGGTTGGTAGTGAATGCTTGTTACTGTTATCAAAGAAAATTATGGAGCACTATATAGTTTTTCTGGAGCTAGCGTATTGCTGATTGATAATAATTTCCCTCGAACAACTTCAGATATGTTCCGGCGAATCACCTTATACAGCAAATTACTGGGAAGATTTTATAAATATTGGTGACTGGGCAAGCAGCGTTAGACGAAGTTTGCTTTAAAAATGCTTGATCGCTAACCTTCGCAGAAACGCGGCACTGGTGGCAACTGAATCATGGAGATATCGGTTATATCAAGTTGCAAATTGCCGCCACCGTCTAGAGTGCCAATCACAGTACAATATATGTACATATTTTTTGGTAAATAATAATCCACTCAAGTGCATCTTCAGCTGCTCGTAAGTTTTGAATGCATGCAACCTATGTAAAGATTTGGTTTGCGCGAACACCTTGGAAATTTATGTATTTGTTTAATTTCTGCACTGTTAATAAATTCAAGTACGTTATGTGATGGGTACAAGCCCCGAAAGGGATGGCGTAGAGGAAGTGTTATGCTATGAATTTTGTTTTGGTACAGTTCATATTATGTTCTTACTCGTATCACGTATGCGATAATTATTTAGGGAGTTACGGAGTATATTATACTAATCGGATGCCGCCAGTTTCCAAAGTTTGTTTTAATTCTGGCTGAGGGATAATTTTCATAAAATCGCTTTCCTGGGAATATTTAGAAATACTCCATCGTTTGTGATTTTGCTGTATTGCGCGTGCGCATTCTGCTGTTTGAATTCCCGTTAACTGTCGACGCAGTTTTCAAGTAGATTCGCAAGGTGCTGGAGGTGGCCCATCCGGTATCAGGAAAATACTTGAATTTGTCTCAAATATTCAACGAAAATGTTTCGATTTGTACAAAACCGATAAGCAATTTCTCTTAAAGCTGCAGATAGTAAGCATAATAGCTGTTACGGGCTTTGAAAAGCTCTTGGACTTGTGCCAAAGATAAATTCGTGCAGCCGTTAGTATAAAAACACTTAGTACTGTCGTGAACTGCATCTCCGAAACTAGTCACTCAACGATAATCTTTGATTTCGTTTGATTAACGTTTTGTTGTCATTGTGTCACAATCGGCATCATGAAATTTTTCATGACCTTACTTTTCTTGGGTGCCGTTCTGGCTTTTGTGGTAAGTGCATTGCACCAGCTGCTTGTCGTACTCTGTATTTCAATTTGGAGTTGCTTTCAAATACAAGTCTACCTAGCTAGTCCTGGAAAATGTTTGAATTGCGCCCGGCTTCATTTCAGGGCGCCGTGCCGGTTAACGAGGTTTTACCATCAACATTAGCGAAAGAGAGACAGAAAGCTTCGGCAATCTCTAAACCCGGTACGTGTCAATTCACCTTTCGAAAACTTTACCGGAAGTGTTGTTTTCTGTTAATTGCCACTGCTCAAGTATACTTTTGCGCTGTTACCGTTGAAAGCGGTGCGATAACTGATTATCGGCAGCAAACTAAGCACTGAACAGTGCAGCCTTACAAACAAGAATATACTAAAAAAATTAACTATATACAGTAGTTTGTAGCATCAATATAATTATGCTAATAATGTTTTCAGCATCCGAAACGGATCCCGACGAATCGAAAAACGACAGCAACACGAATATTTCCGAGCCCGGTAAGTCAGATTTTTTTTTATTTTTTATTTTTTATTTTTTTTTTTAACTTAATTGTGCATGAAGTTAAAACCACACTTCTACGAGCATCATTCATTATCATTCGCTTACTTTATCGTGTTGAAAAATTTTAACATCGCTGTCACTGAGACAGCAGTAGCGAGCCGTTTTCAAGCAGAAAATATAAAGTCTTCTTTATTATTTTATTCCATGCGTTCCGCTGCCTACCATGCAAGTTCCGCATGATGCATTTTTCTCGACTTACAGTTATTTCCTGCATTGATATATATTTCCGGTTGTGCTTAAACATGTGTCATTTTGGCGTTGTAATAGGCTCGTACATTAACGACTTAGCACCAAAAATACATCCAGCCAAACCAAGAATGAAGCTCGATATGAGCACCATCAAGGAAGTAAATTGCTCCAAGGAACAATGGCGTTGGCATCCACAGACATGCTCATATCTCTTAATGTACGTATAGGAAATAATTAAACGCTCAGTGATTATTTGTATTACGGATTTTCCACAAAGCTAAGTTGGTGCAAGAAATGCACCGATGTAGATTTCAGGTAATGCATATTTCAATGTGTATGAAATTTTGACGTTTTTATACAGTAATTACGAACATAACCTTGTTTAGGGCCAAGAGCGCATTACTGCGTAAACCAAGAACGAAGCGCAGTATGAGCGAAATCAATGAGACAGTTTGTTCGGCGGTTGAACGGCTTTTGAATCCAGAGGAGTGCGAAATTCGAGAAATGTATGGGAGATAATTTAACGTTCGGTATTTTCGGTTGTTCGTACTAGTTTGTGTGCTAATTTTCTACATAGTTAAGTAAAACCGCTTTAGTAAACGCATCGCTACTATTTTATCGGTCTTGAATCAGTAAGTAGGTTTTTCAATAAATTTAGTTTCGCGGTCTTTTGCAAAAAGTCTGTACAAAACGACATCGTGCAAGCAACAAAAACATTGCGTAAAATCTGATACATCGTCGATATATAGCAGTGTCGTAATCAAATAAAAAAACAAAAATAATTCGTGGCTGAATCTCGGAAATATTGGCAGTTTTATGGAACAATTTAATCGTGATAAGCTGTGTGTCTCCGTGGACCACTGAACAAGACATTTGCTTTTAGCGGATGTCGATAAAGTTGCTGCTGTGGGCATAATAAAAAGTATCACAGATATTATTATTGCAGCAGACCGCTAGACGATCTGCGCCCGAGCATTGCTCAGCCGCTCAGCGGCAGTGATTGATGATTCTTGCCAGGTTGGCGCCCTGTGGCGGTTGGCAGCCGTGCGACTTATTTGCGACAGGAAGTTGTAGTAGGCCCATGGAAACTAGTGCTTATCCCGGCACTTTTTAAACAGCTCGCGTTCGCAAACTGTACTGTTTGTTAACTGGGCAGATACATGAAAATTTACAGAAAACCATCCTCTGCACACGAGGAAATAATGCGTGATAAAAATGCTTACAGTATTCTTAAATTAAGCGGTAGCTCTATGGCCACGGTGTTACTCTACCGCCTTAAATTTTAGCACGCGACCAGAAACACAGCGCATGCGTAGTTTTCCTGTTGGTGCACTGTAGAATCCCTGTTTGTTAGTGACATCAAAATGACACACTGCCAGTCTGCAGTCCAGGCGAGAATCACGAATTTGCTCTGATTGATTTACTAGAAATATAAAAAATGCATGAGCCGCACAGATATACGCGTTACCCTATGCTGAATTTCCGTACCGTACATAATATATTAATGTATGTAAAAACAGAAAGAATAAAACCGATCCGTATACTATCAGTTTAAATTATTAAGTAAAATTATAAATTTAAAGAAAAAACGAATATTTTAACAGGTTGCTATCACATTTTAACAATTTTAGGGTGAAAAAATACATACATAATAAAATTTATACGAGACATAACTCGTATTTGACAAGCTTAAACTACAGAAAAGTGCTTATGCAGGCGGACCGTTTTGCCGGTTGCACACATGCACGAGTTCGACGTTGAGTTCCCGTTAGCTGTCGACGCAGTTTTCAAGTGGATACGCGAGGTGCTGGAGCGGGCTTATCGGCTGCCACGAATCCAGTGATTTCTGCAAAATCATTCAGAAGATTTTGTGAACGTTTTAAATAAAATGCACAATAACCGCCAAAAGTCTACTACATTGTAGTAGACTTACAAATGCACCTCAACAGAGGGGGAATTCTTATAAAAGCGGGTGCACTAGCTCCGCTAGACCTATCTGTGCATTTCCACTATAATCGTACTGACAATTGATTTCTGTTGTTTTGCACACGCATTCTCTGTTTCCCATTGCACAATATGCACGTCTGCGCGATAGTGCTGCTTGCGGTTGCTGTCCTGGCTTTTTCGGTAAGTTCATCACAGTCGGTTCATCAACACCATGCAGTCGCACTGCTTGCATGAACGTTTAACTTGCAAATATAAGTTATTTCGGAAATTTGTCTCAAATGTGCGGTCGTGATTTTGCAGGACGCCATGCCATCCAAGGCATATTCTCCATCAAAGTCACCGAAAGAACACCCGCAATATCCTATAATTTCCGACTTCAGAAAGTGTCAGTACAGCTTACAAAAGACTCTAGGAAAGTTCTATTTTTAGCTAATTTTATCGCCTAAAATTAATGTTTACACCGTTACTATTGATATTAGAAGCGAAAAGATCGAAGAAATTTTAAAAGTAAGAAAATTTAGGCGCCTTTTATACATTTATACATTTGGTTTGAAACTTATTCACATGTCTAAAAACTTTCCCGTAGTATTTTTAATTTTATCGTCAAATGATTTCGTTAATATTACAATATTTTGTCAGAATATTTTATATCTACAAGTAACAACGCTATAATTTTCAGCTCTGGATATAGAAACAACCACGCCGGAAACCAGCCACAATACGACCACCTTAGATGAGGTTTTGATTCCGGTCTATAATAAAACAAGAAGCCACCGGAGGAATGTAAGTGAATTATAAAAATACAGTACGTGATTTTAAAAGACGCTTTTTCAAGTACCACAGTAACAGGTAATAAGATATCATTATTCGTCACTTTTTATATATTACCAGTTACAAGGATGTCATAAGATGTTCAAGTTTGAGAAAAAGTTCCATTTTTTGGCTTATGATCTTCGTTTTTAGTCTATGTACAACTCTGCCACTTGCGGACTGTCGTGGTTCCGGAAACTATGCGGCTGATGAAATGCTTAAAAGGCTCGATCATCCACAGTATTCCATATTTCCTAATGAACAGAAAGTCATACCCAGTTTTTCCCTGAAGACCACGTCGATTTCTTTTATGTACGTCTAAGAAAAACTATGCTACGGAGAAGCAATCGCGACTGAGCAGAATGCGACAGTTTCCAGATATGGTTTAAAATATTGCAGTGATTGGCAAACAACCGGAATTTTAATCTTCTTTTTTTTCTGTGCAGCATTCAGCGTTAAAAGTCTGAACTGGTGTTGTATCTTTCGCGCCGGACAAAACTGTAACTTAAGAATCATGGGCAGTCGATTGCGCCGCATGACATTTTGGGTGGCCTGCAAAGAGCCCAGAATGATTGAAAATGTAAAATTTCTGCATATCTTCGACCGATTTCTCTAGATAAAAGTAAGCAATCTTCAAACGCTGTTGGCAAATTGAAGCACTGGCGTCACTGGTGTCATGCATTTTAGCATGTGCGCTAACAATAGTGATTGTGTGGATTTATTTAGATGCTTAGTTTCTCAATCACAAGATTTCGTTAGGGTATAAATGCACATCTTTGTACAAAAACATCCAGTGCGAACAACATCCTGTTGCTGAGATATGGCGAATTGAAATCGCCAAAACGGTGCTTTAATTAACGAGATTTGCAATGAAAATGTAAAAAACGGCATGCAGAACAGATCAAGTTGGTACAAAGTACAGAGTAGAATCGAAATGGTTACAGGCGTTTATGAACGGCGGCAGCTCGTTCAATGCAGGGATAACGTTGTCGGCCACCGGGCAGTGCCAGTACACAAACCACACATTCTTCAGCACCACAGCAAGCGGCCAAAATAATTAATCTAGCATGACGGTGCCGACTCGGGCTGGCTTTTCCCTTAGTCAATCTAAATTAAAGCAAAAAGGGTACCGCGCGGAGACTGTATAATAGCAAAGAAAAGCGACATCACCGACTGGAAATTCAAAATTATCAAACAGCACAAAAAAGATGTAAGCAGTTACAGTCACTTCAGCACTCAACATAGTTCCAGGTGACGTGTGTTCGACCAAGGTCCTCGGGTGCCAGCGACTCGAAAGCGGCCGGGGATAGCAGGATGTCGCTGCTGGCACATCCTTCGCAGCGATCGACAACCTTGACTTTGACCTGCTCACCGGAGTCCACATCTTTGACCAAAGTGCACTGGCTGCAGACGGGCGCCTTGTTGGGGCTCTGATGCTCTCCATACTGCGTTTTGCTGACGGCCATCACCATTTCATCTTCGGCGCTGACATTTCCACACGCTCCCCATCCCGGAAGGTAAAACGTCGCTGTGCCCTCAAAACTCAGCACAACAGCACACAAACCAACAACGACAGCAACACTTAAGAGGAAGCGAGCGGTCATTTTTATAGAAATGTAGGTTTAAAGCTTGAAAAAGCAAACTTATTTCAACTGAATGTTTCGCTTTGATCAAAGCGAAAAACGCTGATCTTTGTATAGCTCTCACGAGCCAGCTTTTGTAGCTGTGGTAATAATATGCCTCGAACCATTTTGAGTTTGTTCCGCCACCACATTATCCACCAAATTACTAAGCAGATTTCTTAATTCTTCTTGGAAGAGCATGGTATAGCGTTAGACCGATTTCACCTTTCCATATACTTAATTGCTATTATCCGCAGAAACGCGCAATATTATGGATTCCGCTGGTAACAACTGATGGAGATACCTATTATGTTTAATACTGCAAGTTGCCGCACTCGCCTGGAGTGATATTCACAGCAGCATGTACTGATGTACATGCATTTCCGCCACCGCCTGGAGTGCAATTAACAACATTACATGCATAGTACTGCATAGTTATTCCGTTCCCGTATTTCTTGTTGCTCATAAGTTTTACATGCATGCACGATCTACGAAGAAATCGGTTTACTCAAATATCGTCTATTTAAATTCCGAAAATTGCTGAACAACGACAAAAATCAAAGTTAATTCAGGAGCAGCAGATTTCAGTTTTCCGGAACAAATAATCCCGCACTGACGGATGCTAATAGGTATTAACATAATTCGAAAAAACGCCGAAAGCACAAGTGAACTCTTTGCAAATTAAGTACAGAGTAGAAGCACTTTCCAGCAAACCTCCAAGCTTACCCCGTTTAACGACATGTTATCGTGGTAAGACTTCGGGGCAGTAGCTTTGTGTTTAATCGGCAATCGACGTGATATAACACCTTTACTGATTTCACAAGAAGCGGTACATAGCATCACTGTTTCAAAACAATAAATCAAATAAAAAAATAATTCATTTAATGCTGCCGCTCCCTCCATTGTCCCGAGCACGGAAGCAGCCCTGCCTCGCTGAATTTCCAGCGACAGTCGTTGACGGAGGTACTCATGGGAGCGAGGCTCACCCGTATGCTGCTGAAGTCGCTTGCCAATTTCTTTCACTAAACGGTTAGCTGACTTTCCCCATGGTCCAAGAGTTTCAAAAGCCAGCGGTACGAAGATGTATCTGCCCTGTAGGTACAAGTACGATCCCGCTTTCCTATCCTCCGCCTGTGCGGCAGCGGATCCCGCAGTGACTGATGTGGCTTTCCGGTGAGACATGGCAACAGTATCCACGCAGGTCACGTCCCACGCCAAACACATACCGCGTTGCCACGCAAACGTGGTGCAGCCATCTAGGAGACGGTCCGATGTGTGGGATGTACCTTGCGGCTCCACTTTTGCAGGGATGCCGGCTGATACTAAAGATCTGCACAAAATACTGTTCCAGCCGCCATGGCGTGGATGCCTTCCAGCTGAGAATGCGCAGGACAAGCCGTGGTGACCATACACATCAACGGGCTTGTGGCACTTCGACAAGAGTGTGCTTCACAGATTCTTACACAAAGTCTCAGGCCGACTAATATCTTCACGGTGTCATCGTCCAAGAGGTTACCGATATGTGCCGAGGGCAAGGCATTCAACCATATGCCAGCTTCCGCTGTCGACTGTGCGAGGAGGCGGACCCGGTTGATTTCATCGTTGCGAAAGATGCCCAGCAGTACGGATAGTGATGCGTTACACAGTGGAAGGTCCCATGTTCGTTGTGCCTTTCTGGCATTAGGCTCCGGGAGTTCTGCCAGACGTGCTTTGGTTTTCGATAACTCAGAAGCGGCCGAAATATTAACAGTGGGGTGATCAGGGAGCAATAATGATATTAAGTCGGATATAATTGTTTTTGTAGTACTGTGCCTGGATGCCTTGCTTTTAACACAGAAGAATGATCGATAGATCGTCTGGGTACAGTATAGCAGCTTTGACTCGTGGCTGGCCGGATCTTGCTTCACACCGCACACAGCGCGTGCGGGATTCAGCGCTAGTGGACAGCCAGCAGCGGGCTTGACCACCGGACCTGCTAATTCCTCATCCGCCTTATGATTTGTGATGCACAGCGTTTAATACCCTTTTTCCCTCGAGATGTGTTCCTGACGCAAATTTGTCAGGATTTTTTCATTTATTTCCTCGAAATAAAAGATATTTCATTGAGGAGATGCCGTTTCGTTGTCGTTTTTCTGTACAGCGTCGACGCTTTCACTAGAACTACACATACGCAAAAAGGAGAGTAATTACATGTACATACAAGAAGTATTGAGTAATTACTGCAGTCAAAAACAGTACATATGTAGTGTTATATACTCGTATACGACATAATTATTATATGCAGTCCATAAAATGTTTTTTTTCTTTTTCCACACAGTATTGCGCATGGCTACCCTGGCAGTCTGGCACAAAGTCCGAATTATTTGCTGCAAAGGCTGCACTGAACCACCATAATTAAAAATTTGAAACATCTATGTAACGGTGTAAATTCACGGCGTAATTTGTCCATTTCTTTGCAAAACTAAAACGAGCAGATATTGTATAATACGAGTGTATTATATTTTCATACAAAACATACGCAGTCACCAGGCCTTTAAGTTCCCGTTAGCTGTCGGTGCACTTCTCAAGTGCATTCTACGGTATTGAAGCTGGCCCATCCGGTGTTGGGGAAACACTAGTACTTGCATTAAATACTCCATGGAAAGGCTTTGATTCCTGTAAAACTGTTAACCATTTTCCTTGAAGATTGCAAAAAGTAAGCATAATAACCGCCACAAATTTTAAAACACCGATGAACAGGACAAGCTCAGTGAAGCAACGGTTGCTATAAAAACAATTTGATAGCACCAACTGAGCCACATTTCCATACCAATCATTTCAACGATATTTGCCAATTTCTCTGCTTTAAAGGTTTTTTTCTCTGTTCACATTCGGCAATACGAACGTTTTCGTGACCTTATTTCTTTTTGCTGCCATTCTGGCTTTTGTGGTAAGGGCATTAGATCCACTGAACGCAGGCGCAATATAACTGCAAGCAAATTTGACGACAAATGTAAGAGATTTGGAAGTTTCCTTAATTGTGCCGCCATTTTGTTTTAGGGCGCCATGCCGGTCGAGGATGACTCACCATCAGCGCTAGCGAACCTCGAAAATCCGAAAATTTTCGAATCTGGTAAGTGTTAGTGTAAAATACAAAAACTGCACCAAAGTGCACTTTTCTTTAATTTGTATTGGCGTCGTTTAATTTTACGCTGTTGCCGTTTAACGCACCGCTTTAGACGGCAATAAACTGAGCAGTAAAGTCCTTAAAAGAATGTACTGTTGATGCGCAATGCGCATTTATTTCGTCTGTTGCGTTTCACAAAAACCCCTACATAAAATTCTGGAACATATGTCTTTCTTTCTTAATACAACACCGATTGTTTCATTCATTTAACAATTTTAAAATAAATTTTGTAAATCGGAAGTCACGTGCATCCATGCATAACATTATGTTTTGGTCGCTAAATCTACATCCACGACACTTTTTAGAACACGAAACGGATCCCGACGCCCCGAAGAGATTCCGGCGCAGAAGTCATTCATCGGGGCGCAGGCCATTCATCGGGGTTCAGAAAGGCGAGTATTTTTCGTTATTTTCACTGTTTTAAAATAGTTTTTACGCCGTTGATAAAACCGGGGTACAATAAAATCTGAAAACAAAAAAACTTATAGCACGCTGTTTTCATTTTTGTCCGCCGCTTTATCCTTCGCCAAATTCAATACAGTATTACGCATGCTTTACTACATACAGTCAGTTTTGTATTGTAAGTATGTATTTCTGTGGTTTTTATCTCTGACGGTCAGTACTCGGTTATGTTCAAATATTAATGTTTTGTTGGTATTTTTAGTGCCGAATGTGCATTCCGCCAAATCGAAAGAGAAAGGGGAAATGAGCGCCATCAGCCTTATTCCAGCAAAAAAAAACAGCAGAAACCTTTGGACTTCTTTTAAAACCATAAAGAACTTGTGGTAAAACTGAGTCTTGAGCAAGCATGCAAAGGCAAACAACGTTTGCTACAATATCCATGACTGCAGATACATACAGACACAGTACACCTTGATGAAAGCCGCTTCTGTGAAATAAATTTAATGTTCGGCGTTTTCAGTTGCTATTAGCCCTAGTTTTCTACATAGGCTTCATACATAGCTAAGGCCAGTTTAGTACTGTAGCCGCTAGATGAAGTGGCTCCACTGTTAGATCCGACCGCTGCCTGCCTCTGGCCGGGCATTGAGCACGAGCCTTCCCCCCACCGAGAGGCGCACACTTTGCTTTTCGATAAACTGTTGCCTGCCCCTGCCAGGGGCACCCCAAAAACCACAACAAACCAGGTTTATAAATTGAAAACTGTCAGTGCTCTGACATTATGCTCTTACAATAATTATTGTACTTTGCTAAAAAATAATAAAACTCAGTAAAACATGTAGAACGTCAGCATCAGAGTCAAAATTGTTTGAAACCAAAACAATTCTGCACGGAGCAATGTGCGTATATTGGGCTTGCATTTTCCCGTATACCAGACTCTGTGGAGCCACTTCATCTAGCGGCTACAGTAATAAATTTGCCACTACGTATTTCAGTCTGCATTGTTTAATAAAAAATTTACCGCATTATTTCTCCAGACAAGCCACGAAACTAATTTACACGCATGCTTTTGATTACCAAGTTGGACTGGCTAGCTCCAGTAAATTAGCAGCTCAAGTAAATCCACATGCAACGTAAAAATCGTACGTACAGCTCGATCTTTTACACACAGGGAAGTGAAGCGCACATTATGCTATAGAAAACACCAATGTATTTACCATGCTGGCTTTAAAACCTCGCCGTGCCATTCATGTGGGTTAGCAGTTTGACTTATTTCCTTCCGGCAAAGCCTAATTATTATATCATCTTGATACATCTCTTTTTTCAAAACCGATCCTTTTTTAAAATTTGCAAAAAAAGAAGTATGCTGCTGGTGTCGGCATAGCATACCACGAGGGCAAAACGCAAAATCTGAGTTTGTGCGGTGTATACAGTTCGTTTTCAATTGTGATGGATCAGTTTTTCAAATTCAGCCCATTAAGGGTTAATACAGGCTTAGACAGTTAGGTACCGCATCTTCGTTAATTCAAGTACGAGTACATATTAAGTCTTAGATGCCGCATTGGGGATGCATATTAGACCACCCAATAAGCGGTATTAGCAAAGCGCGACGAAGGCAATGAATAACTCATGCGGAATCGTTATCTCCCCATTGTGTTGGTGAGGTATTATCCGAAAATAGAAATGGCGCAGTATTGTCTGCTGAATCGCTGCGATAAGAGAACAAACAAAATTCGACCGACATAATGTTATATAGAAATGTTATGCATTGTACCTTGTTAGACCAGATTTCGGCGGCAAACACCGAGCCAAACGCAAATTAGTTTAATAAGTGGACAGCCACTAGATGCGCGGGGGAATTCGACTGTCCTTTAATTTATAGTCCCTACAAACAGAGTTTCCAGTAAAGTAACATACATCAGCCTGTCACTGCTGGGTACCTCACGGCTGGCTCTGTACTTCCTGGATTACATTTGGAATATTCTTGTGTTTTGCTTGATCTCCTGCCCGTTGAATAACCATGACCATCATAAGCGCCGAACCGGTAACGGGTGGAACGGAATACCATAGCGGTCGACTAGGACAGCGCCACTTGTTGATGCTACTGTTATTTTTCGGATGTATCTGCAAACAGGCGACCCGGGTCGGTCTGAGCGTCGCCATGGTGGCCATGGTTAAGCCACCTATTGCGCTCAACATCACCCTTCAGTATACGGATGTAGCCTGTCCGCAAAATCTGCCGCCTCCATCAAACGGAAGCGAGCTGCAGCTCCTTCCGGTAAGTGAACTTCTTTAATGCTATCAAGACTAAATGTTTTCTAATAAAATAGGTACTGTAGCCGCTAGATGAAGTGGCTCCACTGTTAGATCCGACCGCTGCCTGCCTCTGGCCGGGCATTGAGCACGAGCCTTCCCCCCACCGAGAGGCGCACACTTTGCTTTTCGATAAACTGTTGCCTGCCGGCACCCCAAAACCACAACAAACCAGGTTTATAAATTGAAAACTGTCAGTGCTCTGACATTATGCTCTTACAATAATTATTGTACTTTGCTAAAAAATAATAAAACTCAGTAAAACATGTAGAACGTCAGCATCAGAGTCAAAATTGTTTGAAACCAAAACAATTCTGCACGGAGCAATGTGCGTATATTGGGCTTGCATTTTCCCGTATACCAGACTCTGTGGAGCCACTTCATCTAGCGGCTACAGTATGTGTGTGACACGAATATAACCAAAAGGATGTCCAGATTTGCTGTGAATTTGTGATAGACAAAATTTTGTTTAAAATTGTTAGTAACGGAACTACTTTTAAGTTTTACATGAGGGGCCGGTTTGCGGACTTGAAAACTCCGGCTTCGTAGGGTAGTACGGGAAGCGCTGGCTACTTTGACTGGGACTCGACCGCTCAAGGAATTCTGCACGGGGCTTTTTATTACGGCTATCTGTTCTCGCAAGTCTCCAGGCTGGGCTGTGTTGGTCTGCACGGTAGGTAAACTTGGCTGTATTCAAATCACGATAAAAATTTTTTCGCTTTGTAACAGGGAGTCATCGTACCGTCTATGACGCTTCTGGCCAGTGAATGGAGTCCGCCGCTGGAGCGCGGCCGACTAATATCCGGTGCCGGCAGTGGTAGTCTGCTAGGCACGGTGGCCGGGATGTTTGTCAGCGGACTACTAACCTCCGCCTTTGGATGGGAATCTATATTCTACACGTTCGGCATAATTCAGATTCTCTGGCTTGTATGTTCTTACCTGTATCACAACACATATGCACGCATGCGGCGCAGTTCTAAGTATGCTGTAGACTGAAGTGTCGCGTTTAAAAAAGCTTTCCTTAGCTTCACTTAAAGCAAAGGAAAAAAAGTTTTTCAGCTCGTTAACGCGGTATGCCGTAACAGCGTGTAAAACCACCACAGGCCCACCATAAGGTTTTAAATTATGCATCTGTCACTTCGGGTAATAGCAGTTTATTTTCCTTCTGATAAGTTAAGCGTTAAAACATTATTGCGGAAGTGATAATTTTTTCACTGCAGGTTCCATGGATAATTTTCGCTAGGGACTCTCCGAGCGTCCACCCGCGGATCTCCCACGAAGAGCGCCAATACATTTTGACCTCGCTCGGCCGCCGTCAATCCCAATATGCCAATCCCAAGCGCCGCCGGCTGCCCATCCCATGGAAACGTATCTTCCGCACCGGCGCCTTCTACGCCATCCTCGTCGCGGAATTCGCCCACAACTGGGGCTACTACACCATCCTCACCAACCTGCCCACGTACCTCAGCAACATCCAGCACTACTCCATCAAAAAGAACGGTCTCCTCTCCGCCCTCCCGTACCTAGTCCGCTGGATCTCAGTGTTCTTTGTGGTTCTACTCGGCGACTGCTTGCTGACCCGCAAAATCATGAGCGTCAGTCTGCTGCGCTCCACCTTCTCCGGCGTGTCATTTGTCCTAACCGCTGCCGCCCTAATCGGGGTGGGGTATGCCGGATGCGACAGTACCCTGGCCGTCAGTCTACTAGTCGTCACGGTGGGCGTACAGAGTCTGAACTCGTCCGGGTATTTTCTCGGTTATGCCGATATGTCGCCGGAGCTGGCCGGGGTCTTGGTCGGGCTGGGTAACGGGTTCGGGACGACAACAGGGATCCTAGCACCCTTAGTGGCTGGTGTGCTGACCAACGGGCCGGGCGGGCATAGTATTCAGAACTGGAAGATAGTCTTCTTTATTGCAGCAGGTATGTATCTGTTTGGAGCGGTGATTTATTGGGTTTTCGGTTCGGCCGAGAAGCAGCCGTGGGATCCGACAGTGGCGGCTGCTTCTTCGGCAAAAGTCGCGGTAACCAGACAGGAGGGCACGATGGACAAGAAAGAGGCTGACTTAGAAGAAAAGGTTACTTTTATCGATAATCCGAGTTGAGAAGCGTTAATCTTGGAACCAAGAGATATAAATTATTTCACATTTAGTCTAACAATTCGAAACATCGCTGGAAGATTAATAACTGCAATGCGTATGATTCATTCCTACTGTTTGTTCAGCAAGTGTGAGCTGAACGTGATCATGAGTACGTGAACAAACAAAGTCCCGAGCCACGGGTGTTGAATTAAAGCCCGGGTTGAGGTTGTGCCTTCATCGTCATAATTTCTACATGCTTGATTTGATGCATGCGTGCATTGATATGTTTGCATAATTGTGATCGATTGACAATTGTGCAGCGTCACTAAATGTTCTCAGCGGACACTACTGATCGTAAACAGTGAGCACACATGCTGGTGTCACATTCAAGCTGCACCGACTTCGTCTATTTTTCGATTTTTGTTAGGTCTGATGTTTTTGATCGTGCTGGTATCGCTCAAAAAGCTGAAAAGCAACCATGGCTAAACCATGGGACTTCCCATTTCTTTTCCGTTTGCTACAACTCTTAGGTCTATTTCCTTACCCGTTATCGCCGGCCAACGTCAACCGCAAGCGCAACACGACCACCAGTATCCCGCTGATCGTCTGGTCCGTTAGTCTATCTTTTCTGCCGCTGTCGTTAAGTGTCAGTACATTCTATGCCTATGTAAATTCGTATATCGATAACCGTGCTCTGAAAACTTTGGAGTTCTTCACACTGATCCGGATAACATTTATGCTGTTGCTCTATCTGCAGGCATTTCTTGTTATGCTTACGCTTAACAGCAACGCACCCAACGTACGCAAGTTGTACAACGCATTGGTTGTATATGGAACAACTCAGTCAAATGGAAGGAGTCACTTCGTGCTGTTTATTTGGAGTTTCGGTTACATAGCGGCTTTCGCGTTTATCATCTATAATAACATGTTTTTAACGATCATGAAAAACGATCCTGAAAACGCTACCTGGACATCCAGAATGGGCTTGTTTCACACTGATAGTTTTCAGATGCCGCTGTATGCCGTATGCGCATATGTTGCGCTCTCAACTGCTTTATCAGCGAGCTGCGAAATTATTCCGCAGAATATTCTCTTAGCTGCTGTTCTCAATATTCGCTGCACATTGCTCATCTTAACCAATGATGTTGACAAACTGATTACTCAAGAGCGCCCGGAAGCGGAAAAACGAGCAGATTCAGTTCTCGATAACGTGGAACGGGAATATCGCCGGCTGTTGATGGACATGACAAAAATCGATAAGGCTTTCTCTGGGTTTATGCTACTTATGTTTGTGAAAAATGCCATTTATGCCGCAGCGCTTTTGGGATACTTTTTCACGTCATTGGATGCCGGACAGAAAAGTGTCACGGAAATTGTTGATCAAAGCGTGGTGTGGGCAGCGTCCAGCGTTAGCTTAGTTAGTGCATGTATACAGCATCACATTTGCATCTCATGTCATAACCAGGTAGGCCCTTCGTCTAGAAGCTATTACAACTAAATAAAATAAATACGAATGCAATAGTTACTTTCGTTCTGGCGGTCACTCGTGCCAATAAACCAAATTGATCAAAATTTTAATGTGAGAGCCAGTGCCAACTCCCGTCACAAGCGACAAAACCGATAATTTTAGTTTTCACAGTAAAAACCGTTTTTCCCGCCACATGCGCCGGGCTTGTTCTCAAATGCATACGCTTCGTATGAGCACAAAATTGTTTGATTGTGCTTTCTGTTTGATATGTGGCTGACAAAAAAATGCCCTTCATTGAAGCAGTTGCACAGTTTTGGTAGCTTTTGGGATACAACTTGTGCTGTTCTTCTCGTTGAACAGGTTGATATACTACGAAACGCGCTTTTTAACGCCGGGACACACTTTCTTAAAGGACCGCAGCAGCATAGATTCGACGAGCTTTACACACTTTGTACGAGTCACGATGCTGTTATAACGATTGGAGGATTTCTAAGGGTCGACAGGCAACTGATTCCCACGGTAGTTCTCTTACTCAGGTCATTCTCCACACATTCACATGTAAATCGATCGTGCAAACATTGTAGCTCGCTGGAATTCTACTGGGATATGGAATACTCATCTATCAGACTCATGATACAAAAATGGATATGCAGACCCTGGTTTCTAAACTGGAATTCGCCGTACTGGCATCACAACTGGGACACTGTCTACCCACAGGAAATTTGTCATTAGACTCAATTACACCAGCATAAGCTATGCTCGACATCTACAATAATAACAGTGTACCATACCCGAACTTGCTACGTGATTTCTAGTCAAAGTTCTGCTACTTTCAACAACGCGCAGTACGGCACATCAGACGACAGACGCAACTTTGCGTAGAGTATTTCCGTAATCAAATTCACTATGCTTATTATGTATACTGTGGAATAAAACATGTTTTGGTAACAGTTTGCAAAACGCCTTACTCACGGTCTTTCGACAGACGATTGCATGGGTACTGGATAGCAAAGGCGGAAAAACGCTAGCGCATTTAGGCCGGTGAAACCTTTTTAAACATTAATTTTTCGGTATTTCTTGGTACCGGTAAATTTTCTGCAGGTGAGACCTTTATAAACATTTATTTTTCAGTAGAACTATTGTATGAGAGACACGCACACATGTACAGATAATGACTGTAGTTCCAAAAAACTAACCAACGACTACTAGGTAAGTAGTAAGTACAGACTGTACTGACAGCAGCAGTTTTAAAAAAACGTATTTAAGGAGTAATTCAACAGTGATTTATCGAGTTTAACGGATACTTTCCTCGACCTGAGTCAGTGGCATTTCTAACAAGATCCGGTAACATTAACCCCATTGGCATAGAAATACGCATTGCACCCTCCGCAGTAGTTATTGCAGCATTTCGCGTACGCATTCTTCGGGCACGTTTTCCCGGCACAGGGCTCCACAAAACACTGCACTCCTGGCACACCCATGGGACAATTGTTCTCCGGCGGACATCCTGTTGGTGGCGCATTGGTGGTGATGGTGGCGTTACCACGGCACTGCTGCGTAACATCCTGTCCGTTGACATACCACAGGGCGAAACAGCCGCCGCATAAGCTGGATCGGCACTGGGCGTTGGGGAAGTTGGGGCAGGTGTTGTTAGCGCGCGGATCACAGGGATCGATCAGCGGCAGGCAGATGGGTATTCCAGGTGCACATGTTACCGGTGGCACTACGAGTACAACAGCGGATTAACACGGTCACAAGGGCAACGTGTAAAACGGGCAGTGCGTTCTCGGTAAATAGGGAGTAAAGGGTTTAGGGTTAGCTTGTACTTTTAATCTAAACTCTGTAAATTTTTTTTAACGAAGGCATTACGATATTAATACTGGAGTTGACTTTGATCATTTCTGCGAAATAATTAATTTTTGATAATACGTAGTTATTTCGAAGCGATTTGCACTTGCGGTTTATAACATGAATTTACAATAATACTACCTGTCGGGCTTCCAGTGCTTGTATACTGATTAGTCTGACCCGTTGTCAAGTGACAGGCCGTAATAAGGAATGCGAATCCTAAAATCGTAAAAGTTAGGTGCGGCATTTTTAACTGCAGCAAAAAAAACGCAAATCTTCCGCTGCACGCGTATGCTGTGAAACAATGGCAGTGTGTCACCACGGACAACAGAAGAGAAAGAAGATATGCCTTACAACTTCGTGCAGATGCTATTTCCTAGCAGTCTACAGTGCGATCACCGCGGAAACGCCCCAAGGAAATCTTTTTTTGTAGTATTTACCAGCTTGAACATATGTGCAGTTGTAATACTGTCTGCGTACTCTGTACTTTCCAATGCCGGAAACTGGCAGAACTAGGTGAATGATACGATATAAGCTCATCGTTCATCCGCTAAATAACCGCTTCTAAGGTGTGCATGCTGGAAATGCATTAAATGCTCAAAAAACATCACTGACCTGAATTTGGTGTGACTCTGAACTAGCAGCGAACATCTACTGAACAGCGCTACGCTTTACATCAATGTGCTCTTAATTAGTGTGTACCAGTACTTGGACAACCGTTGTTGTTATTTAACAAACTACTGCCGGAATTATAACTGTGTAGCAGGAAGAGGCAGTATAGTAAGAACTTTAATTTGTGCGAATCAAACACGCTGACGGAGGAATACTGTATAACACGAAGAATTTTGGAATATGCACGAATTATAAAAACTCAGGCTCAAGGCGACTACGAAAATATGCAGTAATATACCTACGTAGCCATTGCTCGTAATTTGCACCTGCAAAGCGATTACAGCGGTAAATGCATGACGCGATTTAAAAATTTATTATGACTGCCACGGTTTTCTGCTGGTTCGACGATCGCTTGACCGACATTACGAGAGCAGTTAGCGCATTTCAGTGAATGTTGAAAATATAGTAGGAGGTATACGAGCGAGTTGTATACCGGATGGTAAATACATACAGACTGTACAGTGCCGTTAAAGCAGCGAAAGTACAGATAGCAGCGCTTTCGTGACCGTTCCACCTAAACATCTGGCAGCCATTGCTACACTAGTTGTGGGAGATGTTGAAAAATAACTTTTGATCTACGTACTGCAAAACAAAACACGCGGCTACAAATCAACACACCGCATTTTTACAGAAACAGTCATAGAAGCATGATTGGGCTCGTTTTAGACATTTAACCACAATTACGAAACTTAACTGAGCTGAACTTTGGAGGCTGATTGGATTGAATCTTTCAGGATTTGTAATACCTACATCGTTCTTTTAACCTAGATACTTGAACCTCTCAAAGCAGTTACCGTAATACCAGGTAATTATCAATTCCACTTAAGGACCATTGTAAGCGTATTTCCATTTTCCATTGCAAATATGACTGCAATAAGCTCAATCGGGGAAACATAGGCCCAGTGAATCAGGTGCCTAATCGTTCCGTACGAAGAATCCGAAACGTGCTGATGAACCCAAACTAGACCCAGAAAACAATGTGACTGGATTCCAAGCTGGTCAGAACAGCCAAAAACAGTTACACGACCTGGTTTCCGCTTTTTTAATAAGTACCTTGAACGCATTTTGTTTAATTTTTTCCCGCTGTCTGCGAGAAAAGCATAATTTAAGCTGGGCGGACTCGTGACAGGTCTCAAGCCGCTGTCTTTGAACTTTTTCTCTGATCGTCACAATGATTACTTTAACATGGTACATGTGCACCTTATCGGTATGCTGGCATTATCGTGATCGCTTGTAACAGTGCACGTCAGCGATTCTCACAGCGAATATTTTAAAACTGGGAACACGATAGCAAGCCTATCGCCGGCTACATATGTCATGGTGCTCTTCCCTTATCCGTTACTGCATCCCCGTGGTCACAAATACGACACGGCCACCCGTATTCTGCTGACCATCTGGGCGTTATTATGTCGCTTCTGCCGTTGTCGTCCACTGTCAGCACCATTTACGCTTATAATGGCTCGTACATCGATAACCACGCCTTGAAAACATCGAAATTTTTTCACGTTATTCCGGATAACCTTTGTGTTGCTGCTATATCTGCAGGCGTTCTTGTCATACTTAGCTTCAACTGTAACGCTTCTAGCGTACGCAAGCTGTTCAACATCTTGATTGAACAGGGAAGGACTCAGTTTTATGAAAACAAGCAGCACATGCTGATTATATGATGCATTGTTTATATAACGGCTTTTGCTTTTACAGTCTTTAACAACATGCTTCGAATGATGATAAAGAACAATTCTCAATTCCAAATGCCGCTATATGTCATATGCATGTATGCTGTGTTCGCGGTAGGTTTGTCAGCGAGCTGCGAAATTTTCCCGCAAAATATTTCACTAGCCGCTATTTTGTTGATGGATCAATGCGCACTGTAACCAATGAAATCGACCGATTAGTTAAGGAAACACGATCAGAAGCGGAGAAGCGAGCGAATACCGTTCTCGACCATGGGGAACGAGAATATCGCCAACTGCTTATTCGTACCAGACAGATCGATAAGGCGTTCTCAGGATTTATACTCATAATGGTTGTAAGAAACGCCGTTTACGTTGGAGCGCTATTAGGTTATTTTTGTACTTCGTCGGATGTCAGGCCAAAAAGCCTAACGGAAATTGTTGACCAAAATGTGGCGTGGGCCGTATGAAGTGTCAGCTCAGTTAATGCCTGCCTGAGTTATCACATTTCGAGTAATAACTTTCCTTTTTAGATTCGTCTGAGGTGCAAAACAACATATATTAAACCGTTGTTTAGTAGTAAGAATATGGAATCGCTTTGCAGACAATGGTTCCTTGCCGTTGATAGACTGGTCTCTTAAGGACAATGGCCCGGTACATAGCGTCAAAAATAAGATACATACACTAAAACTTCACTTTCGCGCGCTCCGAATCACTTTTTTTTGTAATACTTTATGTCATTCAAAAGCTGAATGATTTGTTTGCAGTGTTCTGAAAACCGTTTGCGCGCGCAACATCCCGTTACCCAGATATGGCGTACTAAAATGGGCGAAAAGTTTAAATGCATTGCTGTGTACCAAAAGTCTGGCTGTTACCCCATCTTCTTGAAACTTTGCTATAAAAGGCACATAGCCCTGAAGACTCCATATTCAGCTGCACACAAATGAGTGGTTCTAACAAAGCTTTTAACGATGTACAGTACATGCATCCAAAACCCAACTTCAACCGACATTTCTACGATTCACTTACACAAAAATTTAGCCTACCAGAAAAAGACAGCATTTTCAATGTATTTAACTACATTGCGTAATAGCGTGCATTATTTCAGCCGCTGAAACATTCCTCCGGAAAACACTTCAGTGTTGTTGTGTGTAGTGAAAGCGGAAAAGCAGAAACAGAAGCGCCCAGAAGAAATAACTCTTTCCACTAATTACAATGTGTTACCAAGCGAACTACTTGCGGCAAAGTTATCTCGTGTGTAACATTTTGCTTACTCCAGTGTAATATCCACAAGCTTGAACACAACGTTTACTAACTGGTGGTTGGTTCTCTTGCAAATACGTATTTGCTTCTTCTCAGAGAGAGCTTTCTGGAATTGCAGTAAGGTACAATGATATTTTTGATCCGGATTTGGTATGACACAGTATTAGCAGCGCACATCTATCCTATATCGTTACGCTTTGAATTACTCTATAGCTAGTATGCTCGCCGTTGTTGTCCTTCGATGCCTGCGTTCTTGTTCTATCAACAAAAGTAATTTCAACGTTTTGTACTACCGAATAATAACTTACGTGGCAGGAAGAGGCCTGATAGTAAAAGCTGTTTCCGAATTCCTGTGATTGTCAGGCATAGGCGGAGGTGCATAACGGAAAATTCCTGGAATATGTATGATAGACACAGAGAAATGCGCATCGACCATCCTTGCTCGATACCTGCAAAGTAATTACCGTAAAAGTGATGTACGGATCGGGAGGACTGTCACGGCTTCCAGCAGCCCGAACAAATCATTGGGCTGACAGCAGAACCGGATTTAAGAGAACGTGGAAAGGAAGGATGGCATGCGATCAAATTTTACGCCGGATGAAAGAGAAAAGCACGATTGCGGACGCTCTCAATTATCAGAAGGTGAGCAAAAGCTATACGTGTATCGTGGTCGACCTTGCCGCATCGAAGGAAGGCTAACTTCCGGTAATAAGGAATATGTTCCTTATATCGGAAGTTGATTACGTTTCCATATTCGTCCGGGCATACCGCGTTTCGGTCGAATCTGGAATGTTTTCATAGTGGTCGTTGCTTTGTGAGTTTTAAGCAGCGACTCCCATTAGAAGCATGTGACTCTCGTCATTCTCCGGTGCTTCGTTTACTGTCAGTTCCTGGATAGCCCAGCAGGTCAGTGCGTTTGTACATGCCGGGTTTTGCATAGGCTATTGGTCGACCACCTGCATCGCCACTGGTGTTAACATTTCTGCGTGGTCGCGACACAAGAATACTGTAAATAGTTTCTGTTACAACGTTTCAGCTTTCATTTCAATGTGGTAGCGCTAAACGTATCTAGAAACTGTTGAGAAGCAAACGCAGCCTTCAGTCGATAATTATTGTTTGGTGGCAAGCCACTGGATGGTCATAAAATTCAAGGGACCTACTCCGAATGAATATGAGACAGGAATTATATTCCCTTAATGATTTCGTGTAAGAATGTGCGGTTCCTGTTTCCAGTTATCGCATTGCTGAATGACAGCAATTTTCGTCAAATGGCGGTAAATACAGTTTTAAGGAGATTTTGGCCAAACATAAGTTACTATGCGATTTTAATGGTGAGTACGGTGCATCATTTAGCGATTAGTACTTAACTACGTAGTAGCAGGAACTCAATGTATGTACACCAACAACAATTTACACTTAGATTGCTTTAGCTGATCCACATTTCTTTTATAAAGCTTTTAGTAGCTTTGCAATGCTACCCTAGCTTTCGAATTTGTACAGTATAAAATACAATAATGTGCGTGTATTCAGTAATTCAACGTTAAACTTAATTAAAACTTTAGTAAAATTACAATTTAATACATAGTAATTGCGATTAAGGTTTGTTTGCTGATGTCGCGAAAGAAACATTGAAAATTTTTAGAATAACATACGTTAATGTTAGTATGTACGAATCATTCACAGGTTTCCGAGATTATCTACTGCTTAATC